GCTGGCATATGGAGAAGGAGAAAGCCAAAGGGATTGAGGAGGAAAAACGTTTACTCACTTATAGACAGTCACAAGTGTACTACGCATTTTTCACAGAGGCCGTGCGAAAATTCAAAAGTTGGTACACGGTGTAGGCACAGTGATATTGCTGCATTTTTGCAGCGGTCCAAGGTTTTCTGGGGTAGGGTGCTGAAAATTAGTACCCTATGTCCCATACCATATGCCACAGGCTGGGTACAATTGTGATATCGTAAAAAGGCTGGTATTAAGGGGCTCGTTAGGCACTCCTCCGGTGCGTAAAGTCCCCAAGGAAATTAAAAAGAAAAAAACAAGTGAAAACATTTTCTTCGGGAATCCTCGGGCTACAACCATTTTGTGGCCTTTCCCAAGGTACCTCCAGATGTCCCTTGGAGGCCAAGGATCCGCAATAATCGGAGCGGCGAGGGCACCCATCATCGACAAGAATTTTTTGTCGGCTGGTCCATTGGAGTACCTACCGGCCACCGCACGGACATCTTGGGTCGCCAACATTCGGCTTCCAGAATCCTTACGCCAACGGTAACCATTGGTAGCCGGGCGGCCTCTGCAAACGTCTTCAACCGGCGTTCTCCCTCACAGTGCATGCCGCCAAACGGAAGGGGCTTCAATGGTCGGCAAAATTGAATATTTTAGCCAACCTGACTTTCGATTCCCCACTGTGCTCGGCTACGTAAAACGTTAGAGGGCATTTGTCAGATGCTGCAGTCTGCCGTTTGCTGCGGTCTGTCGTTTTCTGTGATCTGTCGTTGGCTGCCCTCTTCGTCACTGTTTGGTGGAGGTGGATTGGCGTCGTGTAGCTACTGCCCTGCCCTACATGTCGTTCACGTCCGACGTCTTTCGAAGGTTGCCGCTGTTGCGCGGTCTTTTAATCATCTTCCACGTCTGCATCCTCGACAAGCTGTCTAGACGCACACGCAAGAGGCGTTTTGCGAAAGGTCGTCATCATGGACGGACGGCAGGTAAAGAGCAGGTGTGGCGGACCCACCGGGTGAGGTGCTCCGCCTGGGATATAGATGGAGATGGAGGATGAGGGTGGAGCAAGATGGCACAGCGCAGCTCCCGCGCAGACTCCGACGCACGTACTCCAAACTGTGCGAATGTAGACTGATCCAAGTACAAACTCTGGCCCCAACGGACTGATTGGACTAGACTGGACTGGCGGGTACCGATAGAGGTACCGGCCTGGACTGGACTAACCCGAACACAACACAGGCCTGTGAGAACAGGCCAAGGGGCTGGTCTCACAGGCGAACCAGAGGTCCGCTACTCGATCCTCGGCATGTGATGGATCGCCTAGATACAAGCACGCTTCCGCCAAGAAGCGGAACTCTACCAAGGAAAAGAAAACCCGAGTAGTCTAGGATGCGGAGCAAGCTCCATGTTGAGTCTATGCGATGCAACCCAGGCTAGAAAATGTCACAAAAGCAGCAATGTCACAACTAACAGCCCAAGTGAAAGCAGAAAGCAACTAACTAGTATACATGTCCTAGGAAGCAGAAGGGAATGACAACTAAATCCTAGAATGTTGGAGGCAGTAGCCTCGGTATGGAAACAACTGACTAGTGTAGAAGTCCTAAGAACAACCAAAGCAAAGATAACTAAATCCTAGAAATATCAGAAGTAGAGGCCTCAGTCTGAGAGCAACAAAACAATAACAAGACAACCATATGTCATAGGAGGGGTGTGTCGCAAACCATAGGATGGGATGGTCTCTGAGGGTGGCAAATGCAGCCTAGAGATCGATAACTCCTAAGGGCATCCACACATAAGGACAGGGAGACACATGCCATCAGGCTCAATGAGGGGGGGGAACTGGGAGGGAACAAAACCAATGACCCTAACAGATAGACCATCAGGGCGGGTAATGCTCGACTGAAGGGGTGACCGCTATGGAGGGTCGACCATGTAAGGGAATAAGGGAGCCTGGTATACTGGGCACACGTAGATGAAGCATGCAAGGCTGCCTAACTAGGGCATGAGGGCCGACTGAGGGTAGAAAAAGTGATGGCTAAGAGAATCATGCAAATGAGTCATAAGGTGAGGGAAGTCGGAGCTAGATCCGTAAGCTAGGAAGTCAGGGCAACGCTACGGTCCTGATGCCTATGCGTATACCAAGGGAGAGCCCAACTCAAAGGAACCCGACGAAGGGAGACCATCAGGCGACACAACCTGGGTACTGTACAGGGTAAAGTGGTAAGAGAGTGACGACGTCTAAAGTAGGCAGAGTTGATCGTGACGAAGTCCGTGGAGCTGCCAATGAAGTCCATGAAGAGAAGTTCGGAATGCTGTCGAGGAAGAGCCGCAATGTCGACGAGCTGAAGTAGCAAAACTAGAGTGGATGGAGTACTGAGAAGTCAAAGATGTGGGAAGATAAGTTAAAGTCAATCGTCGTATTGAGCAGGACGACGACGAGTGCGTTGTGAACGCTCAGAAGCATCCGGCTGCTGCTGAAGGTCTGCCTTAGATGGGGTAGGCTCGACTTCAGCGGTCTCCTCAACCAAGGGAGAAGGAAGAGGGTCAGTGGGCTGAGGAGGAGCAGTGAACCCAGCACGACGAGCACGGTCATAGGCACGCACCAACATGTGAGCGTGCCGCAAGTGCTCGAGGGGCTTCGAAGTAGCCTCCTCATCAAGGTAACCCTTCTAACGTACGAGATACTCGACGTGAGGAGGGTTGTCATCGGTAATTCGGCGACCAATGATGTCTGAAATGAGGAACTCCTCGTGGCCGTCCACCATGATGGGTGGAGGGCGCTCGTATGGTCGTCCAACAAAACGCTCAAACGGTCTACAATAGGGACGCAGTAACGAGCCGTGGTAGACATCGTGCACACGAGCCTGGCGGAGGTAGTCAGGCAGCTTCACGCGGAAGCTAACCGGGCTAGATGTCGTATCAGAACCGACGCCCTGAAGAATGTGGCATGGGCCAAAGAAGCGATGCCGGAACTTGCGAAGCGTGTCCGCTTTGAGTTGTAAGTGGCAGGCGTCGACAAGCACATCATCACCTACTTTAAATGGATGATCTATCCTCGATCGGTTCGCACGTGCGGCCATGCGAGTCTGAGCGGCTATGTGCTCATGTGCGGTCTTCATGATCGATGTCATGTGTGCAACCCAATCATCTGGCGTGGGACAACTCGTGTCGGGGTGCATCTGTGACGGTCGAAGGAAGTCCGCGGGAACACGAGGGTGATAGATGAGGTCGCAATAGTAAGGCGACATCCCCGTGGTTGGCGAGACAGCGTGGTTGTAGGCTATCTCCGCGTGGGCAAGATGAAGATCTCATTTGTGATTGTCACGAACAGTCTTTCGGAGAATATTATTGAGAGTCCTATTCGTGACCTTGGTCAGACCATCAGTCTGGGGATGGTAAGATGAGGAGAAGCGGAGCTGGGTACCGTACACCTCGTGGGGCCGTCACTGGAATTGGCAGGTAAAGCGCGGGTCACGGTCAAATATGATGCTTAGGGGTAAGCCGTGGTCACGCACGACTCGGTCAAACACGATGTCAGCGACCTCACGTGCACTGATGGCATCGCGGCATGGAACAAAGTGTGCGCGCTTTGTAAAGCGGTCGACGACGACCAGGATAGCATCATGACCGCGGGGAGTAGGAGGACGAAGAGGACCGATAAAGTCCATCGAGATGGACTGCCAACGACCCTCAGGGATAGGAAGAGGTTGGAGCAAACCATAAGGCAGGTGGTTCGCACTGTTCACCTCTTAATAGGTGGGACACTCTGCAACGTAGTCCTTCACAAAGTCCTTGTGCTTCGGCCAGACATACAGGCGGCTCACACGGGCCAACGTCTTGTGGAAGCCCATATGATCGGTGGCTGCCTGGTCATGAAACTTTGCGCCTGCCCGGACACATAGTTGTCCAGTGGAGGGAACGCAAATGCGGGGCTCTCTGGTGCCCTGTAAACCGTGCCAGTACACAAGACCATTGTCCCGGAAAGAGTAGTTCGGGATGGTCTTGCCACTCCGAAGGGTCGCATGGATGTCGCGATAGTCGGGGTTGTGGCGGTATTGAGTGCGAAACTCGTCGGTCACCGAGTGGTGGACGGTGGTGACCGAAATGGCAGCGAGTTGGATCTACTTCAGATTATGGTCAGGGCGTCGAGATAAGGCATCTGCCACCCGATTGGTCTCACCCTTTATGTGCTCAGTGGTGAAACTAAACTCGGATAGGTCTCGCCACCAGCGAGCCTATCGAGGAGTGAGCTTCGGCTTTGTCAGAAAAACCTGGACAACAGAGTTGTCCGTGCGCACCGTGAATGGTGCCCCGTGCAGGTAGTGACGCTAGTGTCGAGTGTCGTAAACTACTTCGAAAACCTCACGTTCATCAGCAGTATAGTTTATCTCGGCGGACAGAAGTTGGCGGGAGTAGAAGGCTATCGAACAATCACATGAGCGAGACTCGACAGTGTCGTCCTCGACGATGGTAGGAGAATAGTCAATAGAAGGCTCGTTAGTAGCTGGACAAGTAGGCATCAGGCGGGAAGCAGTGGTAGGGATAGGGGGTGGGAAGTGAGGGATGTGAGGATGAGGGGAATCAGGAGAGGAGGGGAAAATCTGAGAAAACACTGCTCGTACAGGAAAGTCTGACGCATCGGTGGTAAGGATAAAAGGGCGATCAAAATCGGGTAGGTGGGGAACCGGTGCACATGTCATCGCCTTCTTGAAACCGCGGAAGGCGTCCTCGTGGAGCGGTGTCCAAACTCATAGCTGGTTCTTCCGAAGGAGGGTAGAGGTAAGGATGTAGGAATACCTAGCGTATCCCTGAATGAAATTACTATAGTAACTAGTGAGGCCTAGAAAACTGCGAAGCTGCTTGGCGGATGTGGGCACGGGTCACTCCGCAATAGCAGTGATCTTTGCATCGTCCATGTGGAGACCCTGGTCAGACACATAGTGTCCTAAGAAATTCACTTTATGCTGGGCAAAGTGACACTTGCTCAGCTTGGCGTAGAAGCCATGTCTGCGCAAGCGGTCAAGGATGTCGCGAAGGTGTCTGAGATGCTCCTCAGGGGTACAACTGTAGATCAGGATATCGTCGAGGTAAACGAGAACGTACTGCTCCAGGATGTCCTTGAAGATGTCGTTCATCACCGTCTGGAAGGTAGCGGGTGCGTTGGTGAGGCCAAATGACATCATCGTAAACTCATAGTGGCCGAAACGCGATCGTAACGCTGTCTTCGGTTGGTCCGCTGCAGCGACGCGGATCTGATGGTAACCGCTACGAAGATTAATCTTCGTAAAGAAGTGGTTGCATGCTAGGCGGTCGAACAACTCGTTGGAACGAGGCATGGGGTAGCTATTCTTAACCGTGTAGCGGTTGAGACCGCGATAATCGATGCAGAGACGGGGAGTTTTATCCTCTTTGCGAGTAAAGAGGACGGGTGCACCCCACGGGGAGTTGTCGGGTTTAATGAAACCCAATCTCAGGAGCTCCTCAAGTTGGCGCTTGAGTTCAGTGACCTCGGGGATCGAGAGTTTGTAGGGTGCCTAGTGGTGAACACGATAGTCAGGCACAAGCTGGATGGAGTGCTCGACGTCGCGCATCGGTGGGATGTCGGCGTACGAGAACGGCGATGGAAAAACGTCGTGGTACTCGAATGAGGTCACGAACTGCGGGCTCTAGGTCGGTCGTATAGCGTGCGAGTTCCTCAGCGTCAGCGTCGGTGCACGACGACGAGATGGACTCGACGGACGGCGGAGGGAGGGAAGTAGAGATGGAAGCCATGAAGATAGAAGGAGGATCTGGCTCCAGAGAGATGAGCTCAACGTCTGGATAGGGTGGATCATAGTGCAAGAGATCCGTAAAGTTCACCGTAAAGAAGGTGACGTCGTCCTGTCGGGTGAAGTGGGCGAACTGTCGAGGCGAGGTGGAGGTGATAGTAGGAGATGGTGTGGGCATGGAAGGCTCCGGGGGAGGAGGATCGGGGCGTGGTGTCGCGGTGGTACCTATGAAAGGTACGTGATACGTCTGTTCACACTTCGTTCCGAGAACGAAAGTGTTGGTCGCCCAATCGGCCTCGGTGCTTCAGAACCTACGAGACCACGGAGTACTGAGAATGAAGTCGTACCTTGTTTCCATTACATCGAAATGTGCAGAGGAGCGGTGACGACGAGACGCCGGGGCCCGATCAGTCGACTCCAGAGTGAGGAAGAAAGAGAGGTTTGTGACTGTCTGATCAAAGAAGCGCTGGGTCTTGTCATCTCCTAGGGTGACGGAGATGGGAGTCGGAGACCCTGTCGTGGATAAGCGTGCTTCCTTCACCACCCGTGGGTGAATGACGTCGCCCTGAGAACCGGAATCCCACAGCGCTAAGTACACCCTCGTGGAGGTCCCGAGTCGTACTGGGATGATCGGGAGGGTGCGATCAGGGTTAGAGAGGATGGCGAGAAGGCGACACAGTGCAGCGACATGAAGGGTGAGCCGCTCCTGACGAGCCTGGAGCATGCTCAAGTCCAAAAGGGAGGACACAACGTCCTCGCGAGTGGCAAGCTGCTCGCTGCAACGGGCTTAGCGAATGGCTCAACGCGTCGGTAGTAGCGGAGAGGTAGGAGGGGAGACGGTGGTCTACGGAGGCACAGACGATACTACGACAGAGGGATGAGTCCACTATGTCGGGTCCTGTGATACCTCAACTCCAGTAGTGAGAGGGACAAACCGCGACGGAGATGTCAGGAGCCGACTACGGAGGAGGTCGCAGGTGTACACTGCACCGTGGCTAGGAGGCGCCACGGGGATGCGAGGCGTCGGGGGGGACTGAGCACGACGATGGTGGGAAAGCTCAACGTAGTGGCGGTCAAGGGCGGTTGTGTAAGGGCACTGCGAGGAGGTATGACAGTCCTGGCGGCAACGCAAACACCCACGTCGGCCCAAAATGGCCGCGCGCTCCTCAGCGGAAAGGACATCACGAGGAGGGACAAAGCCCTGAGGGACATCAGGGGGCGATGCGCCATCGTGACCACAACAACTACGTGCCTGAGAGAGGGTGGAGAGGGCGAGCTGGAGACGCTTGACTATAGGGAGGGTAGAATCCTCCAGGTGGCAGTGGACGGCCTCATAGAGGTCGAGGTCGTCACTATGGTCACCCTCAGGCGACAGCAGGGCAACAACGTTCTGCTCACCATAGTCGAGCGCGTTGAAGCGACGCGAGAAGTGGCGACCCTGCTGCGCAGAACGGTGGGGAGGACCGTGAAAAGGGGAACGACGCTAGGAAGCGTTGTGAGAGAAGGAGGGATCGTACCCGTTATGCTGAGGCTGGGACGAGGAAGTGGGGTGAAGACGGGTCCGCATCTACTGATGGGCCTTGGCGGCCTCATAAGCCTGCGGGGCCGATGTGAGGTCATACCGCTATAACTAAGAGCGGTACTCAAGGGGAAGGTTGACCAAAAAGTGATCGATGAGGGCAACCTCGGGGAGGAACGCCACATCGCAAATGAGACGGGCGTCCTGAAAGACCTGGATGTGGCGGTCCAGGCCGGCAGCGCCACCAGAGTCGGACCAGCGTGTACTGACGACACGCTCGAAGGCGCCAGTCACGTTGTGTCAGGCTCCAAAGCGATCCTCGAGGAACGCCTGGAAATCCATGAAGGTCGGGGTCCGACCCTCACAAAGGGGATGAGTGTAAAAATCCTCCCAGGCGTCGAAAGGACAACCACGTAGGCGCGTGGCGAGGTGAGGCACCCACTTGTCGGGTGGGACGTCCATGAGCTGGAGCGTGCGGGTGGCAGACTGCAGCCACTGAGACACGCGTATCCCTGTATCGTCATACAAGGCAATGCCCGTTAAGCGGATGAGTGGTGCACCACCATTTTGGCGGCGAGGAGATCGAGGAGTAGAGGCATGCGCTATGGCTGAGTAAGTCGGCGCAGGTCCCGGACAAGGGGCCACAACTAACTGTACGCCCGGGCCGCATGGTGGAGAGACGGGGGGAACAGCGGCAGGCTGCGTGGGAGCTGCAGTAAAAGAGGTTGCAGCAACCGATGGAGGAGGAAGGAGGTAGGATGGGGATGGGGGGGGTGCAGGGCGAGGGAAGCGAGCCTGCATGCATGGAAGAGTAGAGAAAGAAGGGGGTGCGCCTGAAGGCGTGGCCACCTGTGAGGATACGGGTGGTTCAAGGCGTAAGAGGGCGAGGTCGGCCCGCGTCTGGGAAAGCTCGGCCTCGAGACGTCGAAAGTAGATCGAGCGAGGAGTGGTAGTAGGAGGAGGAGGGGAAGTAGACGCATGAGCGACTCGGGGCATCCCATAAGGGGGAGAGTCAGGTGGCGCTGCGGTTGTGCGAAGGGGAGGGAGAAGCGGGGCACCCGGAAACGTTGAGACCGCGGCAGAGGCTTGTGGTCCCGTGGCCGTAGTGACTGGAATCTGGGCGGGTGCGCCCGTAGAGTGAGGGAAGGTCTGGCCTGTGGCGGCCATCGCGCTAGGAACGTGGACGGTCACCAGGATGGTCGGGTCGGGGGCAGCGGAGGAGAAAGCTCCACCGTGGCCACCACGTCGAAGGACTGGGGACCCGGACTGGGAGCCAGGAGAAGAGAGAGAGTTAGAAGAGGAAGGACAGGCAGCGTCCTAGAGTTGCCCCATGCCAGCGACAAGAGTCACCACCTGTGCCCTTACACCAGTTGCGCCTGGATGGACGTGAGGAGGGAGGTGAGGAGAGTATAAAAGTCCCCCTGGGGCTGATGGCCTTGGCCCGCCGGCACGGGTGTGGAGCCCAGTGCCGAGGCCTTCGCCGCGTCGGCGGCTTGTGACACGCCGTCGGCCATGGGGAGGTGATGGGCCGGACTGGAGGGGGCCAGAGGAGGTCCGCGTGAGCGGAGAGCGTAGGCGGGGGTCTGCGGCAGAAATCGACGGGCAGCGCTAGCGAGTCTAACGCGGGCGCCATGAAAGGGGGAGGGGTGATTCGGGTCTAGGGTGCCCGAATGGGAAGGGAAAGTAGGGATAAGGGGTGATGGGAGAGTAGGGGGTTTAGGAGAACCCTAAACCCTAGAAAACCCTAAGAAAACCCTAATCGAAGTTTGGGTGGTTAGGGTAAGGTAGCGGTGACCTAATCAAGAAAAGAAAATAGCAACCATGGAGGGGAAGGGGAGAGAAAAAATAAATAAACAGTAAAATTTCAAGACAAAATAAAAAAAAATAAAAAATAAAAATACTTAAAGAAATAAATAAACAAAATATGAAGAGAGAAATAATATATATATATATTTTCTGAATGTTCGACAACATTTCCCTACCCCCCATGGGTTCAAGAATGTGCCAAGAGGAAGGAGAGACCAAGAAAAGCACACTAAGGTTCAGAATGCCGCAAATTATAAATTTATAAAAAATAAATAAAGAAGTAATAAATAAATGAGGCGGTGGAGAGTGAAGAGAGACTAAGTGTTGGATTTTTTAAAATATTCGGCAACATTTCGTTACCCCCATGGGGTCGAAGTGTGTCGGCAAAAGATACGACTAAGTAAGAGGGGAGATATTAGGGAGAAAAAAAAAAAAAAAAATTCGGCAGCACTTCGTTACCCCCACGAGGTCAAAATGTGCGTCAAGAGCTGAAATAACTAAGTCCTAAGCAGATGTAGAGGTGCCGCAGAAAAATTCAAATTTTTAGAATAAATAAAAATAAAATAAAATAAATCAGAAAAATAAGAAAAGAAGTCGAGAGAAGAAGAGAATTCAAATTTTTGAATAAAAGAGGGAATTTAAATCAAAAGAAAGACAAAAAGAAGAAAAACAGAAAAATTCGAAGTTGTGGGGGAGGGGGATGAAAAAAATGAAGAAGAAAAAGAGAAATGAGTAAGAAAGAGAAAAGATTGAAGTGGGAAATGGAGGGAATGATGGGGTTGTAGGTGGGGGAGGGAAGGGGGAGAGTAGGGTGGGAGAATGGGAGAGAAAGGGATGGGAAAGGTGGAGGGAAGTAGAAGAGATTAGTAGAAGATGGTGAGTGGGGAGGGGAGAGAGAAAAAGATGGTGGAAGATGAGTGAAGAGGGAGGTAGGAGGAGAGAGGAGTGGTAGAGAGGGGGAGGTGGGAGAGTGGGTTAGTGGGGAGTGATGATACCAAGCTCTTGGTTGGCCAAGAGCAACAAGATCACCAAGATCCACTGGATCTTGGCCTTCACGATGCTGGAAGCCTGCTGCCGCAGTAGAAAATAATGTTGAAGTAATCAAGGGTTGGCTGAGATCTTGATCAGCCACCCTGGTTACCCTGAAGCGCAGCCCCCTAGCCAGGGGGGTCTTCACTGCTGGCGCAGCAGTACAAAAAATAATGGCCAACATCATCATCATCAGCTGGGTGTGCTGAGATCTTGATCAGCCACCCAGATTGGCCTGTACTGCAACACCTCAGGAAGGGGGGGTCTTCAGCTCCATAGCAAGCTGGCACGTGGCACTGTAGATGGCCAGGTGCGCAGGCAGCAGCAACCACAAGGG